TGTACTTTTCTTTATTTTCCCAAGTCTCTAAGAAAAAAGTGTCATTTTAAAATACAAATTCACAGGGCCAGGGATTTAGCTCAGTGGTTCCACTGTCTGCCTTGCGAGTGCGAGGACCTGACGCTCCCCAGTACCAAAATAATACAAATTCATGAAGTGAAAGAAGCTAAATTAGAGTGACTTAGGAAAACAGTATAGGGCCAGGGATTTAGCTCAGTGATGCCGCTGCCTAACTCACAAGCACAAGGTCCCAAGTTCAATTCCTGGTAACAAAAAAGAAAAAAGAAAAAGAAAACAGTATAGTTATTCACCAGATATATAAACCTGGAAAAATAGGCAAAAGATTTTTCAAGAAACTCAAGTATGTATCAAAGAAATAAGGAATCCAAGAGTAAAAAGAATGGAAGATATTAGAGAAAAAGAAGACAAGGACAGGAAATAGGAATAAAAATGAGGGTATGGTTAAATATGTGAGGAGCTTCAGGTTAAGAGGGTTTGTCTGTTTTCTATTAAAAACAAAAACCAAAAAAACCTAAAATGGCTTATTTGTAGTCTGTAAAAGCAATTTTGGTCAATTTTTTTCCTCAATAACTATTATCCTTCTAATCAAAATAGGGACAAAATTGAAGGTTTTTTGGACCTTAAGGCATTTTAGTTGGGTCATACATGATTTATGTATACACTTACCTTTTAAATGCACTGGGGATCTTACTACTTTAACATCTCTATTGATACTTGTTACAACTTGACTTGTTACAACTGAGCCTGAAAAATAAAGTATTTGTTTTCTACCTGGGTGAACTTTATACTATGTATACATTTCTAGCACTACAATTTCTAAAATCTATTCTTACATTTTTTGAACACTATATTGACCAAGATACTTAGAACTTAGTTACTACCATCCACTTTGTTTAAAAGCAACTTCATACTTTTTCACCATCTTGCTTCTCTAGGTGTGGCTGTGTTTCAGGTGTAGGCCGTGCATTTTTATCCCTGCTTTCATCCTCAAAATCAGTTGCTCTCTGCTCTGGATCTTTTTCCAGGAAGTCTTCTAAGCTCTCTGATGTGCACACAGTGGACTCCAATCTAGAAAACAAAAGAAAACTATTCTTACTTGTATTATTAAGGATCAATTTAAAATTTCAGGAAACAATGTTACCATTTTCGAGAATCAAGTGTCATTCTGTCAACAATTTTAGATTTTGCAGGCCAAATCCAATCTGTTCATCCTGATTTGTTCTCATTTCCATCTTGTTCCTCAGTTCAATTAACATCACACCACCTTCTCAATCATGTAAACTAGATGACTTTTATTCTAACCATATCTTAGTCAACCTTCTTTTACTATAATGAATATATGTATACCAGTTTTTTAGAAATATTGGCTTTGTTTAGTCTGTCGTGCTTGGGATCCAACACAGCTTAGTACGCTTGTGCACACTACACATATGTTCTACCACTGAATTGTACCCCAGCCCTGTTAATAACATATTTGTTCTCAAAAACATCAGCATGGACAACAAACTATTAACGATTTAGTTCTAACTCCAAAATCCTTTCAAACATATCCCTGACTTTGTACTCCCATTTTCACATCTCTGCCTCGGCCCAAATTCTCTCTGGACTACTGTAATGTCTTTTCACCTCACCTGCAGACATCGAAGCTTTCAGAGCTGTCTTCCTGACACATATACCTGTACTTGTGACCGACCAGTTCTGAAGCTTCTAGTAGCTAGCTCGCTGTAACTTCTACGAATAAAGTGGACCTCTTCTCCAGACCTAATCCAACCAGACGCCTATGTTTCTACTGCACACTAGGGAGATACCAACACTTAGATTTGGTCCTCATTCAATTCGGTTTGTGATCAGAATCGTGGAAAGAATTAAGTTCACGAACTGAGGCACCACTATATTTTATACATCAATTATCCTAATCAATAGTCCTTCTAATTTTGTTCCTTTTCTCATATTCCTTTTGTCTAGATCTGCATTAATAGAACAGCCACAAGAGATATGCCACCATTTTACATTTAAATTAAGTACAATTCAATGAATTTGTAAAATGCGATTCATCAGTTACACTAACCATATTTCAAGCCTGCAATGGGTACAGTAGTGGCTAGCACACTGCGTGATGAATATAAAAAATATCTCCATCATTTCACAAAGTTTTACTTGACAGCCCTCATCTACACTGCAGCTTAGTGACTTTCCTTTAGGTTTTACAGACACACAGTCTCTGTTTCAACTACCCAACTCTGCCACTGTAATGCAAAATCAACCATAATGGAAAATGGATAAAACTAATAAATATGGATGTCTTACAATAAAAATTTTATTTATAAAAACAAGTGGTATGTCTGGCTGGCATTAGAGCCCTTACCCAGCATGCACAAGACTTTGGGTTTGATCACCCAGCACTACAAACAAAACAAACACCAAAGTGGAGGCCAAACTTAGCCTGTGGCCCACATCTAGGGGACCCCTATATTAAAAAGTCCTCAGTGAGTCTGTATTGAGTATCTACTGGTCTCTGGAACCCATGCCCCACATTCCCAATTTCTTCATTCCCTCAATTAGATGCATCCCTCTCTCCTCTACATCCCCTCTGTACATCCACCATTGCTCTATCACACCCACCCTGCAGTGCTCACAGGTGTGTACATGTCTGTTTTTACCACTAGGCAGCCAGTTATTCAAGGGCAAAGAAGCGGTTTGTTTTTCATAGTGTGAGGAAGCATTTATGCATTTAGCCCTCCCTGTTTGTTTTGTTTGCCCACATAGGGGTTTGCTATGTAGTTCAGGCTGGCCTTCAACTCACTATGTAGCAAAGACTGGCCTTAAACTCACAGTGATCCTCCTGCCTCAGCCTCCTCCATGCTGACATAATAGGTCTGTGCCACCACACCCAGCTCAAGCATTTAGTATTAATGTTACCGTTCTGCTTATGAAAAGCAAACAAAATTTTATAATAATTCAGGGATGTTCAATTTAAATTAATTATTACATTCCCTTTTTAAAAAGATCCTACCAAGAAAACCAGTGATCTAAACTCATGTATTATTCATTCCACAAATTAAATTTAAATACTTATAGTCTTTTAACACTATAAAGTTATCACTAAAATATTTATACACTTAATCACACAAATTTGAAATGATTTACATAATGAAATCAGCATAGCTATAGAGTTCTCTATATACACTGAGTACAATAATTTGACAGCAAAAATGGCAAAGCTATGAACTGACTAAATGGGCTCAGGAATGGTCAGAACTCCTAGGGCACAAGCTGAATGTTGCCATAAAACTCTTAATCTTGCCTTTTTTGGTACCAGGGATTGAACTCGGGACCTTGTGTTCCAATTTTGACCCAAGCAATCTGTTGATTGAACTATTAAGTTTCTGAAAGAACTAACAGTATTATTTATGAGTATCTCTAATGTACACTTACTTATAAGTAACCCAGTAAAAAGTATTCATTTAAAGTAAAAATGAGGATTTAAAAAAATTGACTGAGCTTCAGCACTGCTAACAACTATGCTGTCAAATTCAAAATTGGTGATAACTCATTTGAGAGCATGTAATGTCTAGAGTATTCTCCCTAATTTTCATACATGAAAAAAAATCAATAAGGAGTTAATTTCACTCTTACTAGCAATTGCGATCAATTTAATACCACTAGGAAGCATACCCATCAATTCTGTAGAAAGATCCAAATACAAACCCTACACCAAAAGCATTTGCTATGCAAAGAATTTAATAACCTCTACCTTAAGTACTAAATACTAATATGATGAAAGTGAGAATAAATAATGAGAGTAAAATAAATAATTCTTTACTTATTTATTGAAGCTGCAGGTGAAGTCTGGGCAGTTTTTCCATCTTCACCTTGAGAACTAGTGAATTCAGAATCCTGAAATCGCTTTCCAATCTTTGGCCGCTTCAAGTGACTGCCCCGGGTATGAGTAGAAACAGGTGTTTTTTCATTACCTGAGGGAAAAAAACATTAAAATTGTAATTATGTACTGAAAGGATGACCTATTAGATTTACAAATATGCAGAAACTCCTACAGCTTTCATATAATTCTACTATACTTATATGAAGTATAAACTGAAAACTTACCTTACTTATATCAAGCTTAGAAAACAATTTTAATGTCATTTTCTAAATTATAAAACAACTCCATCAACATTTATCTCTCACATTTCCATTTACCCTAAGCTTTAGAAAGTGTTTTTGTATTTTTATCTAGAGTCTCTCCTGATGAGTTGGGAAATAATGCAAACATTAGCATCCTTTTCTCATGGGTAAGGAAACAAGAAAGAGAGCCATACAATAGCATCCTCAGTATTTATGCCCAGCAAAACGAGCGACACTGGTGGCATTAGAACCAGATCTAGTTTGTAGAGCTGTATAACTCTTCACTTATTCTAGGTCTCACACAGGTATATCCGTCCTTAATAGTATCTCAAACACTGATAATCAGCTCAATTTCTTACCTTCAGAAGTGCTTGCAAAAACATCTTTCAAAGAATCAATCTAAAAGAGAAACATTAAAATACAATTATTTCAAGCTATTTTTTATGGATTTATTTCAGTGACAAAAAAATTAACCTTTCAAATTTGATTAAAATTTACGAAAAAAATTTACTTTAAAAATGAAAAGGTTATGTTACAAATTTAGTATAGTATGAGAGCCTAAGAATGTAAACATCTGATACGCTGAAATTTCCTGGTATTTTATTCGTAGCCACCAGTTATCTTCACTTTTCACCTTCCTCTTTACTTCAATATTTATTTGTTGATTAATCCAAACATGTAACTTGAGCTCCCCAACTTCTATCCTGGTTTCCAAAGCTCTAGTTCCAAAGAAATATCCCCAACGGATGCCCCACCTAATTTTACATCCAACCTATCCCAAAAGAACCTCACTGTTCCCTAGTATTAGGCCCTCTCTAAATTAATTGCAGTAACAATTCAGTCAGTCACCCTAGGAGAAACCTATGTGGCAATAACAATTTCTTCAACCATTCCTAATCAACTGCTCACAAAGCCTATCAATTTCAAGTGAAGAATGACTCACAACTGTCCTGTCCTTTGCAGTACCAGGGATTTAGTTCAGGACTTCATTATCTTTAACCTGAATGATTTCAAAGGCCTCCTGGCTAGTATCCCTCCTCAAACTATAGCTTGCCTAAACCCTTCTACCTTGAAGACAGAATGATGCTTCCAAATCTCAAACTGTACCACCACTATATTTAAAAGAAAAAAACTTTGCCAGGTGTGGTGGCACACGCCTGTAATCCCAGCCCTCGGGAGGCTGAGGCAGGAGGATCGCTGTGAGTTTGAGACCAGCCTGGGCAACATAGTGAGTTCCAGGTCAGTCTCTACATAGTGAGACCCTGTCTCAAAAAAAAAAGAAAGAAAAAAACTTTAATGGTTTATCACTGCATAGAATACAAACTCACAAAGTCTTCAACAGATTATCACTCATACTGAATATGCCATTTTCCTTAACACCTGTTTTTTACATGATTTCCTCTGAAATGCCTAATCCTTGCCACAGAATCCCTATCAACCCTTTACAAGTCCTCCTGTACTATATACCTTCAATCGTCTATTACAAGCAATGCAACAATGGACCATCCAGTTCTCCCATGTGCATAAGTAATAATCTTTGCCCAACTGCATATTATCACAATACCTTCTCCATTATAAACCACCCTCCATTCATTCATCCATCATACATTTACTGATTTATATTAAATAAATCATTTCCTTTATTATATATAAGTGAAGAGCAGATTTTCTACTTTCCTTGATTTTATTGTATCTGGTAATTGCTAAATGAATCTGTATACCTGAGGAATTTAAACAGTAATATAAAAGAACAAGGGCTTATTCTGAAGTCTGAAGTTCCAAATAGAGAAAAAAACCTTCAAAATTAATCCTTTACATACTTATGTTGTTATTCTTAAAATTTTTTTCATGCAAATATCGGCTACTGTCATGTAAACAATAACAACACAGATGATAACCCACAGTACTCCTTCCCCACAAATCAGTCTCTGAAATGCATGTGCATTTACCGACATACTCAATACTTATTAAAAACATACTCACATATCATGTATAAAACTACAACTGTAATAAATACTATCACAACCAAACTCTACAAAAAAAGGGACTTCTGAAATTCCAGCAGTAGGGCCGTATTTCAAGTAACATCAAGTTTCACAAAACATAATTTTAGACAAGAATCTGGTTAATTCCAGGGAGTTCACAAATGAGACCTCCCTTCTGCTTGAAGGATATGTAACATGGGCAAAGACTATTCATTCTATAGAGACCTACAGCACACAGCCTCAAACCTTCCACAAAACCTTCATAATCTCTAATCTAATTCTATTTCTAGACATTTATATGCACAAGGAAATAATTATATATGCACAAAAATTTATGTACAAGTGTGCCTGTTCCTGGACTACAGAAAAATGTAAAAATCGGTAAAAGTCCTATGTTAAATAAATAAATGATAGTATTTATATGTAGTGTGCTACTATTTGATTTAAAATAGTATGGCTATGGAAAATGCTTCCATTATTCTGTTAACAGAGAAAGGTAGAGGAGTATTAGACACTAAAGAAAAAATTATGTACACACACATGCTTTATAATATATAACATTAAGTACATAAAAAGTTTAACAGTGGCTCTGAGTGTTACCAATTTTTATGTTCTATATTTTTATGTATAGTCTAACCTGCCTTTAATTAGCTTATAATATTATTAATCCTATTATAAATATCTTTTAAAGAAAACTAAGTCCTTATTAATCCACGGAGGATGCCAAGAAAACTAATGCAGGTGAAGTTACTTCACTCTTGAAGGAACTATAAAATTCAAAACAAATATAAATGGGGTCTATTTCAAAGAAACAGCAACATTATTACTTCCTATGGTGAACACACAATGCACCTACAGTTAGTTGCATCTCATTAGACTGATTGTCTTCAATTCCTGCTTCATATTCTGGAACAGTTGCAAGACTATATTCTCCAGATACAGGTCTTTTGGCTTCATTGTGAGAAAATGCTGTGTGTAGAAAAAGTACTTTTAATTGGAACCCAATCAACATCTAGTTTTAATTATAACACTCTGCTGATTTTTGTACACTGTAGATGGAAAGGTTCATTACCAAAAGTCTAGGTATGAAATGTTCTGTTCACATCCTCTCATAAAGAACCCTTTCACTATCACAAGTCTTAAACAATTACCTTAAGTACTGAGTGATGTTGAGAAGAGGTGCTTGAGATGAAAGGCTGCCTTTGGTCTCTGGAAGCCTACCTTATGCTGTTTCAATAATCCATATTTATTGTATATTTCAGGCTGACCTTGAACTATGTAGCCCAGGCTGTCCTCCAACTTGTGGCAATCCTCCTCCCTCAGCCTCTCAAGTGCTGGGACTACAGGCAAGTGCCCAAACAATACAAGTTATTTCTTATTCACCAATTATTTTATTTTGCGGGGTGGTGGTACTGGGGATTGAACTCAGGACCTTGCACCTGCGAGGCAGGTGTGGGGCCACTGAACTAAATTCCTGGCCCTTGCCAATTCCTACTGGGATGTTACATTCCCCTGAGCTATGCTAGGCCACTTTGTTAATGATGCAAAAACATATACTAAAATTTTAGATATGAGGGTCTGATACCAGAAAGATCACTTAATATAGCAGTGCTCTACACATCACCATTAGGTAGCAAATGCTGTTCTTTAAACTGGACTGTGTTCGAATTGGAAACATTCTTACCTGTAATTTTAAGTGTTTCTCTTTGTAATGCTCTCATGACTGGTATTCTCTGGTACCAGTGTCCAACACCTTCAACTTCCCAAAGGAGTTCATGGTCTCCTGGATACTTTTCAAAGTATTGTTTGCAAGCTGCAAAACATTTAGAATTTTATAGAAATTTCAAATACCAAATGTCTTGAAAAACAGAAGATGGAAAGTAAGCTGTCTAACTCAATGGAGCTAGCATTACATTAATATCCAAACACTATCTAAGCAACTCAAGAAAAGTATACAGCAGTCTCATCTATGAGTAGATGTGCTATTAAATCCCAAAAGCTTTAACACTGCTGAATCTACAAAGCAAATCAATGTATGTATGAAAGGGTGTCACATACAAAATTGTAAAATGCACTAAACAAAATGGCACAGAATTGTGGAAAACAATCCTCAAAAAGTTGTTTACTCACAAGGTAAATAACCAAAAGAACTGAAAACAAAAATTCAGAATTCTATGAATTAATGTTCACAGCAGTCATACAATAGCCAAAACACAAAAACTAGCCAAAAACAAATCCCACAACTCATGAACAGAGAAACAAAATATGGTATATTCGTACAATGAAAAACTATTTGGCTATAAGGAATGAGGGTTGTGGGTGGGGTGCAGCTCAGAGGTTGAAACTTGCCTACCATGTTTGAGGGCTTGGGTTAAAACGCCAATTTGTATGTATACACACACACACACACACACACAGACACACACACAGCATGAAACTGATATATGTTACATGCTATATCTTAAAAAATTACACTGGTGAAATAAGCCAGGCACAGGGGAACAAATTTTGAAAAATGATTCCATTTGGCTAATGTACCTAGAATAGGAAAATTCAAAAGGGCATGAAACAGGGAAAAGGCTACAAAAAGACTGGGGTAAGGAAAAGCGTCTTATTGTCTAACAGAAGTGTATGCAGAGGTAATGAAAGTAAGTTTTGATATAGACAGTGGTGATGGGTAAACAGGCTGTGTGCCATGCCACTTGTGGTTCATCTGGAAATCATAAATGTTATATGTATGTATATTTTAACACAATAAAAAGCTTTTAAAAATCAATTAAAAAGCACACTAAACAATACTTTATAATGTTTATGGACATACAAATATGACACCATGAGCAGGAAGGATACACATCAACCTCAGGAGAATAATTACCTCTGGGAAGAAAGGAGAAAAAGGAATGGAATTAGAGTTGGCTTCACAAACTCAGTGAAGGTATTCACTACGTTGGTGGTGCTGTTTTTTGGGTTTTTTTTGAGGGTCTCACTATGTAGTTGAGACTGACCTGGAATTCACCATGTAGTCCAGGCTGGTCTCGAACTCACATGATCCTCCCGCCTCAGCCTCCAGAGTGCTGGGATTACAGGCGTGTGCCACCATGCCTGGCCAAAGTATTCACTATGCAAAATACTTGGACCAGAAGTGTTTCAGATTTTGGAATTTTTTTCAAAATTTGAAATCATGTGCAGATTTTACTGGTTGAGCATGCTTAACCAAAAATCTAAAATGCTCTGAAAACCCAAACTTTCTGACCACTAAGCCATTCAAAAAGTTACACAGATTTCAGAACATTCTGCATTTTGGAATAGGCATGCTCTACCCATATATAGCTGTCCCTAAATATACACTCAAACAATTATGGCAAAAAGTGTAATATCTGTTAAATCTATATGGTGGATATACAGACACTGAGATACTATTCTATCACCTGAGTGAATTGTAACTATCTACCCTGGAGCTGCTGCCACTAGAGTGGTTTTCATTGGGCAATAGGACTTCTGAGTCAGGGAAACTCATACCCATACCTGTGCATGGTCACTGGCAATGCTGCAGATAGCACAGGCTGAGTACATCTTACTCTGTGACAGAAGTGTTCTGATTCTTTTCATACTTCGGGGTGTTTATACACACATTAACGAGCCATCTTGTGGCTGGGAAATGCAAAATTCACTTGTGTCACATATACCCTATATTCAATGCCTGAGGGTGATTTTATACAGCCTGTCTAATATACCTGCATTCCTGAGACCAGGAATGGAATTTCATACTTGAGGCATCATATGGATGCCCAAAAGGTTTCAGATCTTGGCACACTTAAGATTTCAGACCTTCTGGTTGGGATATTCACCCTGTAGCTGCTCAGTCAAGTGGGTTGCTGGAATGGAAAGACAAAAGATAAGCACTGATGGACATATACACAATGAAGGAGAAATCAACCTTTGGAATTTTAAGCCTCAAGGATTTGGTTTTTTTTTTTTTACCATAACATAATGCAGATGCAAGCAATATAAAGAAATTCACATACTGGTCTCTGATCCCAGTCTGTGGCACAGAGTCTTAAAACTCTTAGAACTTTCTGGGCAAAAGAAGTGTTAAGAGAATCTCCTGTTCCCAAATTTGGTCTCTGCTGCAGTTCCTAGGACAGAAATCCAAACGCCCTTGGGGTATCAAGTATTAGATTGTTCTAGTATTTGGTGTTTGACTTCTGTTCCTGACACAGAGCTCCTGGATCCTGTGGCATTTCCTGGGTGGTAGCAGTGTTTTTTGTTTTAATGTAACTCTTAATGGAGACTGATCACCATAAAGAGCAAGCCATGATCCCTGTAAGCCTGGAGATTTTAAGCCCCTACACACTAGAGGAGAGAAGGGCTAGAAATGGAATTAATGATCAATTATGACTACAGGATAAAAGCTCCATAAAAATCCCTAAACTATGGTGTTCACAGAACTTCCAGGTTAGCAAAAACATCCCATTGCTAGGAGGGTGGTGCACCCCAACTCCATGGCAACAGAGTCTCTGCACTTAACACCCTTCCACCCCTTATATCTTCATCTGCATCCTTTATCATATCCTTTATTCATATATTGGTATAAAGTAGCATCCTAAATTCTGTGAGCAGCTTTAGCAAATAAATTAAACTCAAAGAGGGGGTAGCAGAAGCCATGATTTAGAGCTGTTTACTCAGAAGCATGTGTGAGAAGTTACTGATATAACTGGCATCAGGAGTGGGAGGCAGACTGAGGGCAGTGATCATGGACCCTGTGGGACCTGATGCTACCTCCAGGGAAATGTGTCAGAACTGAACTGACTCACAGGACACCCATACATCTAGTGTCAGAGTTGTGTTGAGTGTGACTTACACAAATAATAGAATAGAAGCAATGTTATCAATATTTATGGTATATCCATTTGTAGCAAAATGTGTGAAAAAGAATGGTCCATATTATGTTAAGGAAAAACTTAAGCAGCCCTTTCACACTGGTGTGAAGTAAAATATATTATTAAAACACATACACACACGATTTGGGTACATACACATAAAGTATATTTGGAATACTTAAAAACATATAACATTATTTGCCTCAGGAGCAAAAACAGGACAAAATGGGAGACCTCGCTGAAACCTTAATATCTTGTGAATTTTGTGACTGTACTCCCTCGTCAGTGGAAATAATTCAGTGTTAATAATTCCAAAATGTCACCAAAACACATACACACACGATTTGGGTACATACACATAAAGTATATTTGGAATACTTAAAAACATATAACATTATTTGCCTCAGGAGCAAAAACAGGACAAAATGGGAGACCTCGCTGAAACCTTAATATCTTGTGAATTTTGTGACTGTACTCCCTCGTCAGTGGAAATAATTCAGTGTTAATAATTCCAAAATGTCACCAAAATAAATATTAAAAACAAAATAAAAACTTTAAAATAGATGAAAATATTTTTTTAAGTATTGTCAAATTTAAAACAGAATAGATAAGATAGTTAAAGGTGGCCTTTGGATATGAATGTTCCAGTTTTACTGACCCTTCAACCTATTATTAGAAAGTAGGTTGTGCCTCCATTTTCTATTGAAGGCTTGCTTGTTTTTTTTGTTTGTTTTTTTAGTTTTTTGAGATAGGGTCTTGCTGTGTAACCCAGGCTGTCCTTGAACTCACAGTTCCTTGCCTCTGCCTCCCAAGTCCTGGCACTACAGACATGCATCACAATGCTCCACGGACAGCTATTTCAATTAGCGCATCACTCAAAGTGCAATTTAAGGCACAAATTGAGTATCCTTTATCAGAAATTCTGACTTGGCAGGGATATTTTGTCTTTGGAATATTTTATGTACATAATGAGATTATCCTGGAGATAGGATCCAAGTCTAAACACAAAATTCATTTATATTTGATACATCCTTTATGCAGTCTGAAGGTAATTTACACAATATTTTTAATGACTTTGTACATGAAGCAGTTTCATGGTCACCTGGTGATTTTTCACATCATATCATGTCAGCATTCAAAAACTTTCATATTTTGGGATTACACCAGATTATGGATTTTCAGATTAGGTATGCTCAATCTGTAATAATCTCAGTAAGCATTTATAATTTTTTTTTTAATTTTTGAAAGGTCAGGGACCCCACTTTGGGACAGAAATGATTAAATATAAAAATTACACATTAACTAAGTTTTAGAGAGCCTTGTCCCTATTTATTTCATGTGACTAGAGTACTATTTAAAAAACCAACTTTCCATGGTTAGCTACTCAACTGCTTTAATCTGGGAGCAAACCCACCTATACGTGGTACTCATTAACTATTTGTGAAATGAACAAAATGCCTCTATTCTTTTTTTTTTTTAAGCTTCCTATGTAAGACACTACAGTCTCTTAAAATGCCTACAAATATTGGAAGCAAGTGAAGGTCATCAGCTTTCATGTAGCAACATCAACAATTTATTAATTATTGCAAAAGGAAATAAAATGAAAACCCAAGCCTTTCAAATGTGCTTTTCCGGGAGAGCCAGGAAGAACTACAAAGTGAGAGGCCATATAGACTGAAAGAGGCCTATTAAAATGTCTGTTTCCAAGTGTTCCTTTAATTACTGTCACATTTCAGAGAGTTCGACAAAATTATAAAGATGATACCAATAAAGCATTGTCAAAATCTCACATCTAAATCGAAGGAAAAAAGAAAAGCTGAAGCCCATTAAGACTTCATGCGATGACAGAAATCAACCCTTACTTACCTGTATGTAATTAATTTGTATGCAATTAGTTTCATTAGAATCTTAGAAGAGACAAAGTATTAAGGGACTCCAGATACAGGGGAGGTCTTTGCATTCCTTCCCATATTCAGTGAGGCTGCAATCTGGAGAATCCTCTGCAGAATGATCAAGGGTGTACAATACCCATCCCACTCCCATGTACAGCATGAGGGTACAGAGAAAACAGGATTCAAGGTGGGCGTGTAGTATTTGGTTCCAGTTTCCTGGATCGCTTTTGATATTAAAAGGAGAAGGGCTTAGAAGAAAAATAGATCTTTCAGAAGAAAAAAGTCTGACGTTAGATTGAAATCAAGTAAATTATAGTCTGTTTCCAAATAAATTATTTTCCAGGATTAAATCTTACTTCATTAAGAAAAAAGTTGTATGAGCTTTACACAAATGCAAAAGTAAATCTGTTATGCTTTTCAAAACATCGCCAGATGGTATATTCACACAGTAGAATACTAAACAACATGAAAAATGAATAGACTTCATGAATTCATGAATCTCACAAACATAAAGATTAATAAATAGCAAAACTGCAGAACTTCTAGAACATATATTTACATAAAGTTTTCAAATATGTTAAACAATACAATATGTTGTTAGAGGATATACCCATATGCACTACAAGTCTAAGAACTGTATGAGAAAAATAAGTGTCAAACTGAGGATAGTACCTATCTGAAGAAGGAAGGGAAGGAATAAGTTTAATTGGGGAGGGGATGCACAGTAGGGTTCAGCTCTATTGGCAGTATTACATTTTTCATGCTGAATGGTAAAGGAGTACTTGTTATCTTATTCTTCTTATCTTCTAAGTATCTAAAATTTTGTTGCTATTAATTAATTAATTAATTTGTTTTTTGGTGGGTGGTTTGAGACAGGGTCTCACTATGTAGTTGAGACTGACCTGGAACTCACTATGTAGCCCAGGGTGGTCTTGAACTCACAGCAATCCTCCTGCTTCAGCCTCCCGAGTGCTGGGATTACAGGTGTGAGCCACCACACCCGACTTGTTGCTACTAATTTAAATAGCTACCTCAGACAACCCAAAGGGAAAAAATGGTCAAAGACTCTGAATAAACATTTTTTCCAAAGACAAATGGCCAGTAAAACACATGAAAAGTTGTTCAACATTAAATGCAAATCAAAATTATATGGTACTTCATATAATGGCTATAATTAAAAATACAAAAAACAAGCTGTCCATGGTGGTACACACCTGTAACCCCAGCTCTCTGGGAGACTGAGGTAAATTCAAGCTCAGCCTAACATATTAGTGGCTTAGGGAGATCTTGTCTCAAGGTGGGGTGGGGGAGTAGCTCAGTGTGAAGGTCCTAGGTTCAATCCTCAGTAGAAAAAAAACTGTACGTAACAAAGGTTGGTGAGAATGTGGAGAAACTGTAATTCTTCTACACTGCATGTGAGAATATAAAATGATGTAATAACTTTGTAATAAAATGTAGTATAATGCATACAATGCAGTATTTTTCAGTTATAAAAAGAATAAAGTATTAATTCAGGCTACACCATGGATGAATCTTGAAAGACTTATGATTCCATTGATATGAAGTATCCGGAATTAGAAAATCCAGAGAGATAAAAAATACATTAGCTGGGCCGGGGATTTGGTTCAGGGGCTCCACTGCCTGCCTTGCAAGTGCAAGGGCCTGAGTTCGATCCCTGGTACCAAAACAAAACAAAACAAAATAAAAAGATTAGTGAGTACCCACCAGATAGAAAAAGAGGGGCAATGGAGAATGACTGCTAATTGGTACAAGGTTTCTTCTGGGTAGTGAGAATATATTGGTATTAGCAGTTACAACTGCACAACTGAATACTCAGATGTATGAACTATAAAAGCAAAGTGATCTTTAACTGTAATTCTCCTTGATCACTTTTATGCCACTAACTTATTACTAGTGGCATAATATTGTCAAATATTTCTACAACTTCAGAACACTCTTCAACAGCCTTGAGATGATTCTCTTCCTTACAATCTTATTCCCAAAGTAAAGCGCTTAAACAGCTTCAAAAAAAGGCCAGTCATTTACAATGGCCAGATTAATACTATCAGGGTTAGTAAGATAATAAACGAATGTTTTAGGCGCTGGAAGCCCAGTATCTAGAGCATGTTTTCCTTAAGATCGAGTCCATAGACAACGTGCACATGCCAGAAATGCAGGCATCTGGCTCCAATTTAGACCCATGGAACCAGAGCTTCTGCAAATGAGGACAGGAATCCGTGAAATTGCCCCAAATTATTTCTGTGCATGCAGAAAGACTGCAGACCTTACTCTCAAGAGAGGTTGTTCTAAAAGGGTAACAAGGCCACTGTTTCACATTATCTAAACTGACCCTCCGGCTGACATCATTCTCCCCAAATTTATTTGAAAAGGTAACTCTGAAGGATATTTGACTTCTATGTGAATTATATCTAGGTTTTTAAAAAGACTACCACACCCCTCAACACATATATGTAAAATAAGGGCACATTCACAAAATATACCCTAAACAGCCAAACGTCCAAATTTTCTTATTATTGAAACATACATTTACAGAACTGTGGAGAAACAAGTTGGAAGTGACACTGAAATGTACTTAACATTTTCAACTTGGTCTGCTTACCTGTGTACATGAAAGAAGACAGAGGATACCGCAAGCCAAGTGCATCTTCTGTAAAGGAATCAACAAAGTCTTCCAGCATATGAAGCCCAAAATCTTTGCCTCGGTATTTCTTTCTTACAAACATGGTATCAAGAACTGGTAGTTGGTAACTCTGGGTAAGAAATGAAGCACACATACTTCCTGCAGTAATAAGAACAAAAACCCAGTATTAAAATATATATACATTCAGTGAATGAGTTAACAGTTGCTTTTCTAAAATCATTTTCTTTTTTATTACATCAAGAAGAATGTTAAAGAAATGTATAAATTCCACACTTTCCAGCTGTTATTAATTAATAACAACAACCACGTAATTTGCTGGGCTGGGGACTTAGTTCAGTGGTTCCACTGCCTGCCTCGGAAGCTCAAGGTCCCAAGTTCGATCACTGGTACCAAAAACACAAAACAAAACAAAAAACAAAAAAACATGTAATTTGTTTGCCAATAGTACTATCTAATATAGGACAAACAGCCATTTCTATTCTCTGAAATAAGAACGTAGCTACATGTTACTACCATCTATAAACATACGATTTTTGAAACTCAACAATTATCAAAATTTCAAGTCAGAGCATTTGATGATTTTAGAATACATGAAGTATTTGATTCCAAGTTTAGTATCCCAACATTCAATCTTTTCTCTTCACTTTTCCCCCAGTGGTCTCTCCTCTCTTAGTCTCTCTCTGTGTCTGTCTGACTGTTGGCCTCTGTTTTCGTCTCTCTGCCTGGCCCTCTCTCCCCTGAAGGGAACAGCCACGCTCAACAATGAGGCCATGCACACGGAGAGGTCCAACTGGAGATTTTATTCAAGGAGTGGGAGCAGAGAGAGAGGAGGAAGGGACAGCAGAGAGAGCGAGCAGAGAGAGAGTGGAGGAAGAAGAGAAGAAGAAAGAAAGGAAGGTCCTTTTATTGGTTTTCAGCTGGGTTATTGCTTATGTATGAGGAGAGGGCTACTTTTAACCTAATCACAGGCCAGGCTGCCTTTTATGGGTTCAGTCCTGCAGAAACAGGTTTAACTTCTCTGGACACTGCTGTGGCCTTTGGGGGGGGGACTAAAGATAAGAGCATGAGGTCATTTTAAGAGCCAAGAAGCACCAGGAAAATTCAGCCTGTGATGGCAGCATCAGGTCCCTAACATCCCCCCACTCCAGTCTTGCTTTGTAATGCATGCTAACCTGGGCAATCCTCCTGCCTCAGCCTGACTGCTGGGATTACAGGCAGGAGCCATCATATGCCCACCTTCATTTTGATCTACTTGATGGGTGGTAAAGAAGTGAATTCATTCTCCAAAATTTTAAGGCCTAGATTAGGACAAATTGGAAACATTTGTCTTAGAAATAGTTTAGTCAGCAGACATTTTGTGGTAGATGTATTTCAAAACACATCTATGTGTTTATGGTTAGACAGGAAAAACTGTGTCTAAATCTGTCTCCCCAGTGGTACAGATCTGCTCGTCTACCTTTTAAAAAGCTTGCTGTCCTTGAAGCAGCAGCCAACATGAATTTCAATCCCTTTTTGACTTCTGACTGAATGCAAAAGGCATCTCAATGTACCTTCCCACATCTGCAGGAAGATTGCTGTCTTCACACTTTTGCAAAGACCTGAGACAGAAGCACAGTTTTTGAACTCTGCTCATCCAAAAGGATGATGAAGTTAAGGTTGTGTAAACATGCTATGAAGGTTAGCAGACTGGAAGAGTAGTCCATGTTTACAGCAAGAAGTGCACTGTCTAAACTAAACCAGTGCAACAAGAAAAGGCCAATGGCACAACTGTCCATGTCGGTCAATGACCTCAAAAAGATCCTGGACAGAAGGCAAATCTCACCAAAAGAAGGAAAGGAAAAAGGCGAATGCAAGAAAGAAATAATTGAGAAGATGCAAAAATAAAAGTAATCTTACACTCGACTTTCATTAAAAACTATTAAAATAGCCAGGCATGCCTGTAATCCCAGCACTTAGAAGGCTGAGGCAGGAGGATTGCCACGTGCTCTACCTGGGCTACATACTGAGTTCAGGCCAGCCTGAACTACATAGTGAGACCGTCTCAAAAAACAACCAACCAAACAACAACAATTACTACTACTACAATAACAATAACAACAAAGCACAAAAGTTTGGGGCTGTTTACAAACTCAAAGAGAACACTGAGTAAAAGTGACTCATAGGACCAGGTAAGGGAATGGGTGATCATACAAGACAGACTCCGGAGAAAAGAAATCATGAGGCCTCTGCTCCAATCAGACTACCAAAGACCCATCACCCCTGGGAAGGCAAACCTGAAGTTGTCAATTGAAAGCTACGAAAATGAGCTCCACCTAAATAAAAGTGACCCCACCTGGGAGCTGCTGAGGCATGATGGAGGCTACCAGAGGCACCGACCAGGAGAACACTCTGGCCAGGCCCAATCACACTCTCAAACCTGGGTTTCCTCCAGGGTGGTGCTGTGAACACACACATCCTGCACATCCATATCCAAGACCCTTTCCACTGACAATCTGTGTTATGTTTTTGTTTTTTCTGGTTTCTGTTTTACTTTTAGCCTTTATGTGCTAGGACCACTTTGTTAAAATGGTTTAAGTTCTCCTTAAGTTTAATTTCTTATTATGTAAATATTCCAAAGCAGGCTGCCTTGTAGTTTTGGGCAGCCTTGTGCTCTGGTAAGACTATTCTACTACTTAAAATCATTTTATCCAATTTTAATGAACTTTTTATGTTAAAAAATTAATTTAAAAAATATGAGTTCTGATCATCCAAATAGATGTCTTAACTTCTTTAGTGTATTTTAAGATAGTTTCCAGCTTTCCATTATTTTTTAAATTCATAGTTGTCAACCAATATTCTTTTTTGACTCAAATAAAGTAATCTATTTTTTTAAAAGCAGGAAAAATTGAGAGAAAGATAGCTTCTGTCTAAGAGAAACAGAAGAGGGACTGTAAAATGGGTTACTCCAAGAATTTATTATTTTTAATCAGATTATTTGGGACTTTGGACAATTCTAAAAAGGTAGTTCAAAGAAGAAACAGAATGTCAGATAACATCTCATAAGTTGACTTACCAATCATTTCATGTGCTGATCATGACAGTAAAACATTTTTTTCAGTTCAACCAAATAATGTGAATTATCTGTAACTTATGATTTAGTTGGAGAATTTCAGTTACTTTTTATAAGTCTCCAAGATTATCAATTAATTTAGAATAGGTAATACACATTGTTATATACAGATTCTAGTTGCTGACATGTAGTTAGGCTGTTTCTAAATGTCTAAATTTTTTGTTTGAATCTAGTAAGTAGACCCACCAACAAGTTAATATGACCAGTTTTGTTTTGTTTTGCTTTTTTAATGTGACCAGTTTTTAATGCCTTGAAGTCAGGGTTTTCTCCTAGTGGCTGTAGTACTGATCATGAAAATGAGATATTATTTTATTAGTAAAGTTTGAAGTAGAAAGCAAGAATAAATGAGAAAAGAAAGCACAATTAAGCTCTAGTTCTCAACACAAAGTATGAAGATTTATTGTTAACTATTATGTATGTTTAAAGTTCCTTATGAAAGGGTACTACTGTAATTATATGAAAGAACTTTCTTACAAGTTCTTTTTTTCTGATTTTACAAAAATATTCCTTTTAGTTTGAAGGTAAATTTTAGCCTTTAAAAGTAACATTCAAATAACTGGTTGATGGAACAAAGTATTTAGGAAGTTTAAAGTTTCTTTTACTATTTACCTGCCATATACATGTTTATTTTTATTTATTTGTTTGTTTGTACCGGGGATTGAACTCAGGATCTAGTGTTTGCAAGGTAGGCGGCAGAACCGCTGAGCTAAATCCCTGGCTATAGGTTATTTTAAAAGCACCACACTGGCCCTCTTTCTTCACTTATACCTTAATTCTCCACGAGTCAATTCTTATACAAATGCAATGAAATAAAAGGGCAGAAAAACTTTCCATGTTACTGAAGATTCTTAAGGCACATCAACAGCTGCAAACAGCAGCACTATTACCTAGTAAAGCAAACACCACAGCCTGCTGCACTATGCAGTTTTCATTTATTAAATCTAATTAAACTTAGCACTGCACGTTATTTATATAACATGTTATTTATATTCGTCAGAGTCACATCTTTGGCCTTGTTCTCTTTAGCCAGTCCCAAGACTTCTGCCATTTATCCACATGTTAATGGCCACTAATTTCTACCTTAAACCTCTGTATGAGAGTTACTCCAAGATCAAGAATGGAAGAATTTACACAAATGTAACTAAAACAAAAGCCACACTATCATCTCAATAGCCAAGTAATGACATCTGACAAATCCCAACACTCCAGAAGTCTCACAGGTAACTTTACAGTTAATAGAAAACGGATATTTCTGCCCAAATGAGAAACAAGAAAAAGTTGTTTACTTTTACCACTATTCAGTATTGCACTGAAGGGTCTAGTGAGGGTAAATGGTCAAGAAAAAGGAATAAATGGCATTCAGACGAGGAAGCAAAAAGCAAAACTACATGTGCAGATGACATAATCTTATATATACTAAACTTTAAGGAATACTCTAAACTACTAGAACAAAGAAGTTTGGCAAAGTTACAGAATACCAAAAGAGTATCACAAAAATCATTTGTATTTTGATGTGTCAGCAATGAATAATTGAAAAATGAAATTAAAAAACAATTCCATTTTAAATATATCGGTTAGGAATAAATTTAAAACAAATATAAATCTTGTCTACTCAAAACGATAAACATTGTTAAAATAAATTAAAGAACACCGGAATAAATGGAAAGAAATCCTAAATTCATGGCTCTGAAGTCTTAATATTGTTTAAATGTCAATATTTCCCAAAATGACCTCCAGATTCAAATTCCCAGGTAGGTATTTTTGCAGAAATTGATAAGCTGACAAGCTGATTCTAAAATCATATGCACATGGAAAGAATCCTGAAGAGCCAAAACAATCTTGGCAAAGAACAAAATTAAAGACTCATACTTCCTAATTTTAAATTACAAAACAGTGCAAGAGAATAGATATAAGGATCAATGGAATAGAACTGAGGGTCCAGAAATAAAACGCTCATATTTATGGTCAAATGATAACAGAGGCACCACAGATAACTTATTGGGAAAAACAGTCTCTCCAATGAACGGTG